GTTTTTTGGGGGGGGGGGGGATCGGTCCAGGGAGTCGCAGCTGAATGGAAGCGGGAGGGCTTGGGAGGGAGTCAAGTTCTTATGGCTCGTTACTGGTTCTAATACTTTTGTGCTGCTTTAGCGTATTTCACCTTGTGAAATAGGAGCTGCGGTGGCTCAAGTGGTTAAGACGCTGGACTGCAGGCTGTGGAATGGTCGGTAGTTCAGCAGTTCGAGACCCGGGTGCCGCATGACGGAGTGAGCTACCGTCTCTAGTTCCAGCTCCTGCCAGCCTAGCAGTTCCAAAGCAAGAAATTGCAAGTAGATAAATAGGGACCCCTTCGGTGGGAAGGTAACAGCGTTCCGTGCGCCTTGGTGTTTAGTTATGCCAGCCACATGACCACGGAAACGTCTTCGGACAGTGCTGGCTCTTCGGCTTTGAAACGGAAATGAGCACCGCAACCCTAGACTCGGATTCGACTGGTTTTCGAGCAAAGGAACCTTTACCTTCTAAATGGTTCTAATACTTTTGTGCTGCTTTAGCGTATTTCTCCTTGTGAAGCGCATATAATTTAAAGTAAAAATTAGCAAGCTTGGGGTGTGCATGCGGTGTAGTAGTTAGTGCTGTTGGTCTACTAGGGGTTTGAATCTGGGTTCAGGTTTTCTTCCGCAATGAAACTGACTGGGCAGCTTTGGACTTAACTTCCTCTCAGCCCTGTCGCAAGGGTAAAATGAAGCCGCTGGAAAGGATCGCCTACGCCACACCCTGAGCTTCTTGGATAAACGTAGGAAATATTTTCTCCCATGATCTGATGACATGGGTATAAAATATATATTTATTGGGGTATAATTTATATATATTTACAAGAGGGGACCCGCAACAAAATGTTGCATAATGTGTTGTGGCCCTACCATAGTCTTCCTTGGAGGCGGTCCTTGCAAGGTGGTCCCCCTACCTTTCCACCCCTCATTGTCAAAACACCCTCCTCTTTCTTTCTGCACCTACCCCCTCTACTAAACTTCCCTCACATCCCCTTCTCCTCTCACCCCTTTTATGTCAGCTTTCCTTCCTACCATCCCTTATTACCCTCTTGCCTCTTATATGTCTCACCCCCTCTTACCCCAGCCTTTCTCAATGTCCCAGTTTGGTGTAGTGGTTAAGTGTGTGGACTCTAATCTGGGAGAACCGGGTTTGATTCCCCAGTCCTCCACTTGCAGCTGCTGGATGACTTGGGCAAGCCATAGTTCTGACAAGAGCTGTTCTTGAAAGAGCAGTTCTGAAAAGAGCTCTCTCAGCCCCAACTACCTCACGGGGTGTCTGTTGTGGGGAGGGGAAGGGAAAGGAGTTTGTAAGCCGCTCTGAGACTCCCGAGTGAAGGGCGGGGTATAAATCCAATCTCTTTTCTTCTTTCCCCCACCCCCTCTCAGTCTGCCCTCTCTTTCTCTCCACTATTTCTCTACCCCCCAATCTCCCCTTCCTGGTTCTCTCCCCCTCCCTCAGACAATCTCCTAAGTTTCTTTCTCTCCCCCAACAGACAATTCCCTATTCTTCCCCCTCCACACACACACAGACAGAACCTCACTTCTTTCTGTTTCTCTCCTTTTGCAGCTGCAGGCCAGCAAACTTCCCCAATCTGGTTGCAGGAGGGGGGGGGGCGGTGATGACACAGGCTTCGTCTCCTCGTGCTTCAACTGACACCCACAGGGCCAGCTTGGGCAGCGATGGCAGCAGCAGAGGGCAGGCAGGCTGGCTCCCAGAGAGGTGCCGTTGCCCCTTTGGCTCCCTTGGCCCGACTGGCTGCCTGCCCTCCCTCCCTGGGGATGCTACCGGCTGCCTTCACTCAGCAGTCCAGTGCACAAACCTGCTGACTGAAGCTATAGTCTTCATTGCTGGCAGTCCTGGTGAGGGCTGTCCCAGCGGCAGGTTGCATAGTTATTGCAGTGGCAGCTTCCCTCACAGCTCCAGCAGCTTTTCCCGTGCCTCAGTAAGTCTGTTCTCTGTGCATGCACAGAGTAAGCAGTTTTACTTTGGGGGGATTTAAGTATCCCCATATACTTTTTAAAACATTTTAGATTTTTTTGCAAACATGGGCACTGCCCCAAGTTTGCTGGGAGATCTGGGAGATCTCCATGTGGCCCAGAACCATGGAAATAAGTATCTGCACACAGAGGGGACCTTGGCTATTAGATATATAGTTCTCCAGTTAGCCCAGAGCAGTGTGCATTGTTCCCTATTTTACCTTGTGAAGCAGGTTACACTAAGAACGACTGGCCTAGGGATATGCAGCAAGCTTCATGACAGACCAGGGATTTGAACCTGGGACTCATAGATCCTATTCCAACATTTTATTACACCATACTGGCTCTAGAAATCCACCAACCAAAGTAAGCTCATCATTGGAATTGTGTCTGGTAGCCCAGTCTGACTCATATACAGTGCCATCCAGGAGCCAGCATGGTGTAGTGGTTAAGAGTGGCAGATTCTAATCTGGAGGATCGGATTCGATTTTGCATTCCTCTGCACAAAGCCAGCTGAGTGACCTTGGGTCAGTCACAGCTCAGACCTCTCTCAGCCCACCCCCCCAATAAGTCTAGCTTACCACCTAGTGGTGCATAACACTAAAAGAGTTAAAACTTAAGACTGCCAGACAATCTTTGGATCTCCTGAGTTCCAGCTATACCACACACAATGCCATATGATAACTGTTATTATTACAGTGCCATCCTAGGCAGAGTTATACCTTCTGAGTCCATCAAAGTCAATAAGAGATTGGATTTATACCCCACCCTTCACTTAGAGTCTCAGAGTGTATTACAATCTCCTTCCCTTCCTCAACTTACAGTAACTCTACATTAGAATCACACTGTTGCAGTGCATTCCTAAGCAAGTCTACTCAGAATCCTATTCAAGGGCGCTTACTCCAAGGGCAAAGTGTTCTTAGGGTTGCACTGTTAAGTTTCTTCCTGGATAAGGTCCCTTTAGGGCAGCATTGTGTATTAGCAGATGCTTCCAGAAAGCCCAAAGCAGGTTTTTTCTTGTTCATCTCTATACAAGTTTCCATTTAGTAATCATGGCTACTAGCTACTGATAGGCCTATGCTTCATCTGTCTGATCTCTTCTTGAATTAACTGCTTCACCACTCAGGTTGCTAAACACTCTGTACCGTTTTCACAGAGGTTCCGATAGCTACATGCAAATCTATTGCTTCATCCACCCACTTCCCCATTCCCATAAATTTCTGAAATCCTGCATGACTGTTGTATTAGCAACAAATCATTGGAAGCCTGCAATTTCATTGCAAAGGGATTTCGTTCTTGCTTGCTGCTTTAACAAACAAACAGGAAATTAGCAACAGGCTAAGACAGGCCTAAGGTTAGCACTTGCGATTCACAAGATGAACATTCAAAGAGTTAAGAAGGAAAAATGACAATAATCCTTTAAACAATTGGTGGGTCTTACAAACAATTACTATTAAATGCAATAACAATATATATATATTTTAAAAAATGTGAAGACTTGAATGGCTTAAGTAACTTGATGTAAGAATTAAGATACACTAATCATTTTCTTCAGCCTAGGTACACAGACAGCCAAGCTAGTTCCTATCTCATTATCCTTTTGCTTTTTATTTTGGTTTCCTTATAAGACTTTTATAGTAACTGACTTCAGAGGGAAAAGAACTCCTCGTTCCCCGAAAAAGATCTGAAGTGATGACTGCAGATTAAAGCCTAATAAACAATGTAAACTCAAAACAGATTATGTAAACTTGCCTATTTTTTCACCCAGGTAAATGTTGGCTTGGACAAATTCCAGAGTGGTAGCAGTTAGGGATGGGCATGAATGGGCCGGCAAACTAAATCCATCATGAATTTTGGCCAGTTTGTGGGTCGCAAAGCAATGTTTGCAGATTTAAGAACCACAACGAATTTCCACACTGAGTTGTTTGCTTTAAGTAGCTCCAAGCCATTTAAACCACTGCTTTCTGCTCCCCATGAAAAGCCGATACAAACTGGGTTGGTTTGTGAACCAGCCTCCCCACTGATATGGGTTTGTGGTTCAGCGATGAACCACAAACTGAATAGCGAAAACGCAGTTTGTGCCCATTCTTAGTGGCAGTGTTTGTGTTTACTGCAGGGCCCAGGGGGTCTGGCCCCCGAGTGGTTTTTATAGGCCTCCCTTCCTGAGCCTTGGCTCCCCCTCCCCCCATTGCCTCTCAGCAGGGAGGACAAGACTGGCACAAGCAGCAGTAGCAGCACAAAAAGCAGCAGGGGCAGCAAGTCTGGGCTGAGAGATGCTTGCTGCCCAGCCCGCCAGCAGCAGGTAACCCCAAGCAAGGCAAGGAGGCAAGCGGGCACCTCGTCTGGACCTGGCCAGGCACGCCTGGCTGTGCTCCCGTGCGCCCACATGCCACACCTTTGTGGCCAGGCCAGCCACCGCATGCCTCGCCTCTGCTGGCTCAGGGAGGGAGCCGAGGGTGGTCAGGCTGCCCCTGGTGTGACGATGCTGGAAGGGGCACTGCGGCTCCTTGGGGAGGGAGGGAGGGAGCCAGATGCTCCACAGGGAAGGGCTGTCTTTATTGGGGGGGGGGAACTCCCCTCTGATCTAATTAGCTGGTGCCCCCCCCCCAAGGCCGCCTCACAAAAATATCCCTAGCTACAGGGCTGCCACAAACTCACAAAGAAAT